CGCCTCAACATAATGGTGTAGCTGAGCGCATGAATCGAACGTTGACAAAAAGAGCCAGAAGCTTGCGTGTACAATCAGGCTTACCAAAGCAATTCTGGGCAGAAGCAGTCAACACAGAAGCTTACTTGATCAACCAAGGTCCATCGATACCATTGGAGCACAAAATACTGGAAGAGGTATGGAGTGGAAAAGAAGTAAAACTCTCACACCTAAGAGTTTTTGGTTGTGTAGCATATGTGCATATAGGTGATCATGGTAGGAACAAGCTTGATCCCAAATCTAAGAAATGCATTTTCATCGGCTATGACGGTGATGAGTTTGGATACCGCCTCTGGGATGAAGAAAACAAGAAAGTGATCCGCAGCAGAGATGTGGTCTTCAATGAAAGAATGATGTACAAGAACAAATATAACACAGTTGCCAGCGACTCAGAGTAGAGTGGGCCAGTGTTTGTAGAGATGGACGATATCTCAGAAAATCTATCGAATGAGTTAGTTAAAGATACTCAATCAGAGGAATCAACTGACACACCACAAACTTCTCCTCCAAAAGCTTTAAGAAGGTCTGAACGTCCTCCAAAGCCTAACAGAAAATATATGAATTATTTGTTATTAACAACAGAATATATGATTCATTTGTTATTAACAATGGAGGAGAACCTGAGATGCCTTTTGAGGAAGCCAAGGTCAAACCGTAGATGCCGAAGTTAGTGGGAGCTTGCCATGAAAGAATAAGACGAAATGAAGTCCTTTAATCTCCAAGTACAAAAAAAGCTGAGTTCACCCCGTGGAAAGAAGGCACTTCACAACAACTGGGTGGTATCGAGTGAAAAGAGGAACATGATGGTTCCCAAGAGATACAAAGCTCGACTGGTAGTCAAAGGGTTCAGCAGAAGGAAAGGAGTGACTACACCGACAAAATAATACTACTCGGTCTGTGTTAAGTATGTTTTGCTAGTGAAGGGCTCTACCTTGAGCAAGTTGACCCGTAAAGACAGCGTTCTTCACGAAGACCTTGGATAAACGGAGATAATACATGTAACCAGCCAGAAAAAAGGATTCTCAGGAAAAAGGAAAAGAAATATGGTGTGCAAACTCAAGAAGAAGTGGACTGAAACAAGCTCCAAGACAGTGGTACAAAAAGTTCGACAGTTTCATGCACAATGAAGGCTTCCAGAAGTGCAACGCCGACCACTGTTGCTTCTTCAAAAGATACAGGTCCAGTTATATCATTTTACTGCTCTAGGTTGATGATATGTTAGTAGCAGGTTCAAATATGGATGATATTAGAAGATTGAAGCAGCAATTGTCAAAAGCGTTTGATATGAGGGACTTAGGTCGAGCGAAAAAGATTCTCGGAATGCAAATCACGAGAGATAAGCAAAAACAGGTGTTGCAGTTATCTCAAGCAGAGTACATCAATCATGTATTGCAAAGATTCAACATGAACGAAGCTAAGCCGGTCAGCACACCCTTGGCTAGTCATTTTCGCCTATCCAAGGACCAGTCCCCTCAGACAATCCCTCAAAGACGGAAGAAGAGAAGAAAAGACATGGACAAAATTCCTTTATGCTTCAGCCAAGGAAGTTTGGAATGTATGCGATGGTCCCCCTTGTACGCAACCAGATATTGGCTATGCAGTGGTAATAATAAGAATGTCAATCAGGGGAAGCTGTTGGGGAAGCTTGGTAAGGGATTTTTGAGGGTATCTACGAGGCACTACTGAAAAGTGTTTGTACTTTGGTAAAGGAGAACTAAAAGTACAAGGTTATGTAGATGCAGACTATGGAGGCGACATTGATCACCGCTGTTGGTACTACAGTTGTTTGTTGGATGTCACAGGTACAGAAGATTGTAGCTCTATCCACCACAGAAGCTGAATATGTTGCAGTGACAGAAGCCAGCAAAGAGATGATATGGCTTCGAGGTTTGTTAACAGAGTTGGGATTCAAGCAAGAAAAGAATGTTTTGTACAGTGATAGTCAGAGTGCAATACATTTGGCAAAGAATTCAGCATTTCATTCTAGAACAAAACACATTGGTCTTCGATATCATTTCATCAGGTCTCTGCTTGAGAATGATGTGCTAAAATTAGAGAAGATTCAAGGAAACAAGAATCCACAGAATCCAGCTTGACATGTTAGACAAAGGTGGTGGACCATTGACAAACTGAAAGTTGTGCTCGGCTCGACTTCAGTTGGCCTGCTAGAATAAACAGACCAGAGAAGATTGCCGCAGAATTAATGTGTGAAGACAGATTGAAATCAGTCTTCAAGTGGGAGATTGTCAAAATTAGGTTGTGGTAGGTTGTAGTGTACCCACACACGTGATGAAAAAAAAAAAAATAGGTGAAAGTTGGCAAGCAACTTTAACAAAGATGGAGAGCCGTGAATGAATTATACACGGCTCTCTCATCTTCCTCTCCAATAAATAAGAGAGGATTTGCCTCCGTTTAATACACACCAACAAGAGAGAGTGAGAGCAATTGTGAGAGAGAAAAATAGTGAGATTATTCAAGAAGAAAAATTAAGCTTAATTTTTCGGGTATTCTGGTAATTCTTGAAATAGAGGGTGTAAGTGTAGTAAACACTTTATTTATTTTTCTCCTATAAAAAGATCTTGTGGCAGTTCCGGAGAACGTCGGAGACGTAGGCAAGATTGGCCGAACTCCATTATCAAATTGTGTGTTATTATTTTCTTCTGCTCCCTCGTAAAGGGGATTTTGCGTAATTTTTCCCAACAGACACTACCCTCGCTATCGCCCCACCGGCCTCCCTCCTTCTCTCTCTGTCTCTAGTTCTAGTGAATGCAGTAGAGGCGAGTTGTGATATCAGCCATCGACCGCCACCACTCGGCATCTCTCTCTCCTGCTCACGACTCCGGTGAGCGCTGCAGCTCAGGCGAGCATCGGCTCCTCTCGATTCGATCGACTCCAACTACTGCCTCCTTTATTTTTCTTCGATCCGGTGAGACTGGTTGAAGGCCAGACGACTTGGTTTCTTCTCCGCCACTAACAATTTCGCCAGCCACCTTCGGTTGTTTCTCCTGCAAGCATTTTTATCCTTTCTGGCCCAGCTACCGCCGATAGTGTTGTACTTTGGGGTATTGAGACTATTTCTGGTTATCTTTTCCAGAAATTAGTTAATTTCCCATAATTAATAGTTAGATGAACTAGATTTAAGTATTTTCCAATATATTTCATAAATTATTGATTTGATTAGAAGACTTCAATAAATTAAAATAAATTATGAGTGAGTGATTTAGTAAGATTAAAGTAATTTTTGATTAGAGACTAAATTTTTTTTTTTGGTAAATAAAAGGAAGCATAAAGCTCAAAGCAACCTAAACATGATTAAGCAGATAAAAAATACCAGGAGGAGGGGTATTAAGAAAATGACACCCAAGAGTGATGCCCAAGAAGCAAGCCAATCCGCACAAAATTTGGATTCCCAATAAACATGATAAACAATCACCTCCCAAGAATGATCCAGCAAACTTCTCACCATACTTACCCATCCCTTATAATGATTTAGAGGTTTTTCATTTGCTGTAACCCACTGCACAACCTATAAATTATCACATTCGACAACAAGTTTCTCAATCTGCAGGTCCTTCACAAGCTTGATCCCATGATAAAGTGCACACAGGCCCAGTTCCAAACAAACCCATGAACCCACCGCCTTGCACTCCCATGAATTAACCTGCCACCAGAAGCCAGAAGACCTCCTCCTTTCACAGCTCTGATAGTATTCAACTTAAACCACCCAGCAGGAGGTGGAGACGAAGAGAGCATAACCATATCCTTCTTACCTGAGAATGGCGAAACCAAATCATTGTGCCGCTGCATAGAATTAACATGCCTCACAAAAGCAAGCCCCTCCATAACAAAAGCCTCTACACTCACAGGGGCAGATTGAAAAAGCACCCGATTCCGATGCTTCCATATCATCCAACAAAAAATACCAAAAAACACAGCCCATTCTAAACCCTTTATTCGAAACTTCTTAACTCTCAGATTCTGTTGGAACCAACTATCAAATGACAAACCAACATAAAAAAATACAGTCCAACTAGAGGAAGGCATAAACCGTCGCCACATCATACTAACAACAACACAATAACGACACAAGTGGATAAGCGATTCCTGCTCCATAGAACATAGTGGGTAGGTGGCACACCGGGAAAGATGCTGATGATGCCACTCAAGGTTAGTGAAAATTTTACCCTGCGAAACTGTCCAAAGAAACAAACGAAATTTTACCCTGCGAGACTGTTTTGATTTCTTGTTGTGGTACTTTGACATTTGTTGTTGTCGAGCTACTGTTTTTGTTTACATTAAAAAATTAGCTACTGCGAGACTGTTTGATTTTCTTGTTGTGGTACTTTTGACATTTGTTGTTTGTCGAGCTAACTGTTTTTTGTTTTACATTAAAAAAATTAGCTACCCGTTTTTTCGTTACATTAAAAATTAGCTACCCGCCCGGATATAGAAGTGCATTATCAAAAACAAATTATAAAACAGTGTTTTGTTTTACATTAAAAAAATAAATAGTGTTTTGTTTTCATGGAGTGTATTTCTGACAAATATGAATAGGAAAAAAATAAAATAAAATAAAGCAGTGACCATTTCTTTTTGGTTAAAAAATTTTTTTTTTATTGGCTCGTGGTATGAGCGGTATAGGCAATATAATTTTTCATTATATAGTACCCTATTTGCTGTACCTTTTTTGCGCTAACTCATTTTTCCTATTCTTCCTATCAGTAACTCCTTTGAAAATATAAAATCTCATCAGATCAGATTTCTATGCCTCACTGTCACAAGTCATAGCCTGGCCGAAAGTTGTTCTGTGTTGATTCTTATTGCTCTTTATCGTCTTTTTACCTTATTACCCAGCTTAGCTTATTTCTTTTTTGTAACCTTTGTGTTACGGGTGTTTTAGCTTATTCTTTTTGTAACCTTTGTGTACGGGTGGTTTTTATTTTTTTTATTTTTTTAATTTTCTTTTTTAGTAGAAAATATTTGGATTAATTGAATAGATTTTGGTTTTATAATTTTATTATAATGTTGCAGAAAGTAACAACAATGGTGATTAAGGTTGATCTTGATTGCGAAAGATGCCGCCAGAAAATCAAGAAAATACTCTGCAAAATTCCTCGTGAGTATCATTTTCTTGATTTTTTTTCTATTTTTTGTGTATTTTAATTCTTTTTTGCTTTCTTTGCAATAGAGATTGAAAATCAAGTGATTGATGAGAAGGCAAAAACAGTAACAGTAACTGTAGTATGTTGCAGTCCAGAAAAGATCAAGAAAAAGATCCTTCGTATGGGTGGTGCATCAGTCGAATGTATTGAAATTCTTCCGAAACAACCACCACCACCACCACCACCCAAAGAATCTGTAAAAACCAAAGATCAAAAAGACAAAACGCAGAAGCATGAACCAAATCAGGCGAGGGATTGTTGTCAAGAATGTTCTGAAGGGCGTCATGGGGGGCCATGTTTTGAGGTTTACAGAAGGCTCCCGCCTTCTTTTTATGGACCACAAGTTCCAATACCATGGTACGAAGCTTATGGACGGCAGGTGTATGATGGCTGGGGCTGCAGTGGCTATCACTACAGCGGTTATCACTACAGCGGTTGCCGGAGAGGATGTTGTGTGGGTAAATGGGATTGCTTAAGTGAAGAAAATTCGTGGGCATGTATAGTCATGTAAAAAGAGATGTCGGTGGACCTAGTTATGTTATGATCTTTCGGTAATTGCTTTCTTTCGTCCAAATTAGGTCTATACGGTAGAACCGAACTGAATTAACATTAAGAAATCGAAAAAAAAAAAAAACTTAGTTTTATAAAATTAATGATGCTTATGAAGTGTATGTTTAGGTCTGTGTGGCTTCTCTCCTCCGTCAATAAAAATTACGCTATCGTATTTTCTATCTCTATTCTGTTTTCCACGTTCTCTCTGCTCATATTTCTGTTCTTTTTCTACATTCAACCCGAACCAAACTAATATTGATATATATATATATATATTAAATTAAATGTTATAGTTTATTATTGAAATTAAAAATTATATTTCTATTTATTAATAAGTATTAAAATGGTGTAAGACTCTGAAGACAATTTTGTTTTTATTCAAGGGGAAGACTATCACTATAGTTGACTGAAGTACTACTAATTAATTAAACAATGAATTTGATATTTGGAGAGAAAATTTGAGTTTAAGTCAATTTTTAATTTAGACACCTACATAATCTTTTTTCTACTATAGATTGTCTTATTATTATATTTAATTTTATAATTATAACTATTCTAATTATAACTTTATCTTTTTAATTAAAACGTCAACGTTTCAAACCTTTTTGTTTTTTTAGTTTTTTTAATCGCAGTCAGAAAATATAAAAGAATCTGCAATTTGTTAATTGCTATGAATTTTTTTCTAATTGTCATAAATTTGTTTTTTTAATCCAGTCAGAAAAATATAAAAAGAATCTGCATTTTGTTTTGCTATGAATTTTTTTTTTGTCATAAAGTCTAGAAATCATCATTTTTTGACATGATTGCTTTTATTATTTCTTATGATTAAATTTGTCCTATAACTCATTTTTATCTATTTAATTTTATTTGCCATTTAAATTTTTCTATTTCTAAATGGAAATCTTCTCTTATATTGAGTATGCTTCTTTCCAACAATCGCTTGACAAAGACAATCCGTTCTAATCCTACGGTCTATTAAAAATAATCTTATGTACGAAGAAAAACTGGCATTTTTGATATTTTTTATAATCAAAATTAGCGTATCCTTTTGATTAATAATACTCTCATATATCATTAAAATTCTTTACTAATACTTTTATTAAAATATTCGTCTGAACAACCCTTTTTTACTTTAAAATAAACTCAATTTTGAACGATGATTCAATAATAGAACCTTTTGTTATCAAATGAGATAAATGCATCCATTTCCTTATTTTATTCATCATTTATATATTTACAATTTCTTTCACGAGAATTTCTAATTACCATATGAAGAAAACTAATATTTTTATATGTTTTAGCTAAATAAAAAAAAATAAATCTTTCTCTTTCTAGTAATGCAATATTAAAGCAAAAAAGATTCCGGAAACCCATCCCACCAAAGCCCTTATGACCACTCATATTACTTCAAGAAAGCCAATTGATGCCTCCCCTTTCACCCTTCCCATTCCACCAAAATCTATTCAAAATAACTCGCAACTCATTACACAAAGATTGCGTCAGCTGGAAAATACTCACGCAATAAGTAAGAATAGCTTGGGCAGCCGATTTTATAAGAACTTCCCTCCCTATCCTAGATAAGAATTAGTTACTCCACCTATTCAACCTCTTCCAGAGTATGTCTTTTAAGAAACTAAAAATCTGTTTTTATTACGCCTAATAAGAGACGGCAGACCCAAGTAAGACCCATTGCCCAGAGGATTAAGAAGCCCAAGGGTACCCCGAATACAAGCTCTATGATCTTCTGTAACATTCGAGCTAAATTGAATACCGAATTCCTAAAAATTTACGGCTTGACTCAAAGCACTAGCATAAGCCTCCAAAATAATATATATAATATATAATATATATGTTATATTATATATAAGAATTCATATTTACAATAGAAGAAAAAAAAAGAATATGGCACTTAATCATAATAGCCCACAAATCACTCTTTCTTGTAGACATTGACTTTTCCAATCAATCAATTAGTTTTATTAACCTAATAAAGGAAAATTACTATTTCGTCCCTGTGTTTTGATCAAATTAATAACTTCATCCATGTATTTTGGTCAAATTACTCGGACATTCCTAAAGTTTGACTCCGTCTGATAATATGGTCCTTTCGTCTAAAAAATTGCATTTTTTCGTCTATTTTACGTGAAAAGTCTAAATACCATTATTATGGGACCCATAAACATGATAAAATGTACATTTTTATATTTTTAAATTATATTTTCCTTTTTTGCCTTATACCAATTGACGACTTAGAAGATCAGAGAAACGGAACTACAAGTGACCTTGACCAATCATTCTCGCCGCCTCCTTGTCCCGCTATTATCACCCCCCTCAACTTATATCCTCTTAACTGTCATCACCACCTCCATAATAGGTTTACAAATCAACGTCATCCGTATAATTATAGACGTTCCAAAACTAAAGGAGACAACCCTAGCAGATTTTGCGCGCTTCAAATTCCCACCAAAAGAAACAACAAATCTCCAGTACTTGGTTGAAGATTGTTGTAGCCTTGTTGTCAACAATGCAGTTGTGTAACTTCGAAATCCGAACTTGGAAGGCTCCAGAAGAAGGAAACCAAAGGACAGTTCGCCTGTATCTCCATCGCCACACACAAACTCATCAACTGCGATGACATTGAAGATGTCCGCCGTGAGGTCCAGATCATGCACCATGGTCACAGGCAGATTCCAATTCAAAATTTCTTTTTGTTTTTTGGGAAAATAATTAATTCGTCCTTGAGGTTTGACTAAACTAAGTCATCTTTGCAGTTTGGTAATATTAATTAATGGTCTTTGAGGTTTACCTCTGTCAAACCACTTGGTCCTTCCGTTCATTTTCCCTGGATTTTTCTGTTAAAACCTTTAAACAAGACTAAAATATCCCGACACATAAGAATGGAAAATAATTAATTTGACCCTGAGATTTGACCAAACTAACTAAGTCATCTCTGCAGTTTAGCAATATTGATTAATGATTCCTGAGGTTTACCTCTGTCAAACCATTTGGTCATTCTATTTATTTTCTCTTGATTTTTCTATTAAAACCTTAAAAAAAGACTAAAATATCATTACATTTAAGAAGAAAATCTTGATTTTTCTATTAAAACCTTAAAAAAAGACTAAAATATCATTACATTTAAGAAGAAAAAGACTAAACTAACCTAGTTTATTTGCTTTATAACAGAATGACAATTAAGTCTTATCAAACTTACAATTGGAATTCTGAAAAAATGGTGAATTTTTTTTTAATTTTCTAAATATTCTAACTATTTCTATGGTCCTACCTTCATTTCATTAGTTGTAGTTTGTAATGGAATATGGAAAACAACTTGTTCTCTTGAATATTGATATCTAAAATAAATGCCTATTATTTTTATTAAAATTAACTCGACATATATTTTTCTTTTTCATATTTTTATTGGTGGCTCTAGACGGTGAAGTGACACATTATATTGATTAAATATTTTTTTGGGTGAATATCAAATAATTAATATATACCCTGAATCATTGTTTTCCCTCCACGATAAATGGAAATTCTAACCTAGGTTAGTTTAGTCTTTTTCTTCTTAAATGTCAGGGTATTTTAGTCTTTTTTTTTAAGGTTTTAATGGAAAAATCTGAAGAAAATGGACGGAATGACCAAATGGTTTGATTGAGGTAAATCTCGATGATCATTAATTAATATTGTTAAACTGTAGGGATGACTTAATTAATTTGGTCAAACCTCAGGGACGAATTAATTATTTTCCCTTTTTAGGTGTCAGGGTATTTTAGTCTTTTTTAAAGGTTTTAAGGGAAAAATATTGAGAAAATGAATGGAAGGAACAAGAGGTTTGACGGAGATTAGCCTTGGGGACCATTAATTAATATTGCCAAACTGTAGGAATGACTTAGTTTAGTCAAATCCCAGGGACAAATTAATTATTTTTCTTTGTTTTTTTAGTTTCAATAGGAATATAATGGAGCTAAAAGGAGCATATGAAGATGATTCAGTCAAGGAAGTGAGTGGTCTTAGAGAGGAGGAGGTGGCGACAACAAGTTGGGACTTGGTGGTTGAGAAGAGGAGGTTAGTAGTGATAGAAACAGTGGTAGTGGAAGAGTGATCAAGATCACAGAAAGGCATCGAGATACGAATGGCGAAGAGGAGTATTATTTATGTCGCCAAGGAAACCTGAGCCCAACTGTAATACGACTGCGTTTCTATAGATGAAATTATGATTCTTTTTCTAATGTTTTTTGGGTCCCATAATATTAGTGTTTTAGTCTTTTTATGTAAAATTAACGGAAAAGTGTCACTTTTTGGATGGAAGGACCGTTTAGTTAGACGGAAGCAAATCTCAGAAATGTTCGAGTAATTTAATCAAAATATATGGATAAAGTTATTAATTGGATCAAAATACAGGAACAAAAAAGTAATTTTCCTAACCTACTAATTATAAATCTCTCCAAATAAGCAACTTCTCTAATAATTGTTTTGTAATTATATTGCCGTAAAAAATTAAATGTTAAAAAAAAAAAAACATACACCAGTATATGTATAGGTGTTAATCAAGTTGGGTTAAGCATATTCAACATAATTAAGCTATTTCATGGGAGATATTAATAAAACCTAGCCCCTCTCTCTTTCTCTCCCAAACCTAAAATTTAAAAACTCTTTTTTCTTCTTTCACGGACGGCAACCAGTGAGCTCTCACCGGTGGTCACCCCTTTTTCTTTTTTCTCACCGGTGTCACCCCTTTTTCTTTTTTTTTTTTTTTTTTTTTTTTTTTTGCAAATAATCATCAGATCTGTATAAAAATCTGAGTTATTGTCGTTCAAATATTGGGATTTATTGTCGCCCATATAGTGTGATCTTGTTCTTAGATCTAATTCTGAGTTATTGTTATCAGTATTACGGTGATTTTGTCTAGCGTCTTTTGTTATTTGGATAGTTATGTAGAAATAAGTGCAAATCTCTGGAAGAAATTTGAAGGTAATTAGATCGGATTTGTAGAAAGACCATAGAGTTGAACAGTGGCCATGAATAGCTACTAAGTGGAGCAAGTGATCACCGATGACACAAATATTATGTTCTGTCAACGCAATCAGATACTTCAAATCAAGATTGTGTTT